AATCTAAACATTAATTAAATGTTTTTTGTTAAATGCTAATTATATTCCAGATATAATTTGCTTAACAATCGATTATATAAATAGACAAATAAAGCAATTAATGTAATGAATATATAAGTGATATAAATAATACCTGTTAACCACATGACGAGCGCTGTCGGCGCCGATTGTTTTTCATTGCATTTAATGAATAAATCGTTTCGAAAGTCTTTGCAAAACTTGATTTGTGGCAAAAAATCTAATTTAAAGGGATTATGTGACACACAATTGGCGTCCAATGCGAGCAAATCCTTAATCATTTGCTCGTCGTATTCGCCAATTTGGCCGCAATTTCCGATTACGATATTATTTATATAAATCGGATCTTTTGTGCATTCAATTAATCTCTTCCCCTGTAATCCCAAATAAATCCATTTCGCAATTTTCTTAAGACACGTCGGTTTATGACAGGGCTCTCCTCTGCCCGGCTTTCTATCAGTTTGGGTGTCATTTAAGCCGTAATTAGGGTCTCCTTTCCATCGTTGTAGTGAACCGCACGGCAATTGACTTATGAATAAACTTATGTCTAAATTATCGACTTTAAGGCCGTTCTCTAATTGTGAGATCAGATATCTTTTAAACGCTCTCTTCAAAAGTGATTCCGCGTGTGAGTCGACGATCAGGTGTTGTTTGGACGACCAGTTGGACGGTTGACATTTGGTTCCCGTCGTGAGGGCCACCACTTGTCGTCCAATTGACTTATTATCGCAATCCTTACGCTCGCAAACAATAGCCGCTAATACCGTGTATTCACTTTCGGGGTTCGGTTTTCCTGATTTCCCTTTTTTGAAATCAATTTTTAATACTTTTAGAGATATTTATTAAAAATTCATAAATAAAATAACCTTCATACAATATTAAATATATAGAATATATTTATATAATTAATTACTCTAGTTTCCTAGTTTATGTAATTTATTTCTAATAAATTATTAATAATACATAATATTACTAACAACTTTCAACAAAAATTAAAGTTCCCGGTAAATTACAATTATAATATTTATTTATCATGTTTAAAATGTACTAAATATTAAAACAAACGATTATTTAAATAATTTTAATAATACATACAGAATAATACATCTGTATACAGTATAAGTAAACGATAATATGTGTAATGCGAAAGTAAAAGGTGAGATGTATACCAAAGTGTACCAATGGAATCAATGTTATTATAATGATCAATTCTCATTCAATGACCAATACTTATCACCTATTACTTTCGAAATAAACATATGTACAGAATTGAATATCAGTAAAAGTAGGATATCTAGATATAACTAGATATAAACGGTATAAAAGTAAATTTAAAACTTAATGCTAATCTGAGTTTATTTTAAATTCTGTTTATTTGCCACAAAATATATAATCGTCTAAAGAATTAATGAAACGAATGGAAAAATTGATTTTACAAATACTTCCTTAAGTCACCCGGAATTTAGTTATCATTACTTATTATAAGTGATGTTTTGATGTAAATATTGGTGTCTGTGATAAGTGTCACAACAGTCCGTCCGTTCAGCACGTGTTTAGCATTTAATTACAATTCATAAAACGTTAAGTAAATTGAATGATGGTTTACAGGAACTTTAAATAACTGATCACCATGATAATCTAAGCTAAAGTGCAGATACAGTACTTTGTGGTTAAGGCACGCACTGATTAAGTGATGGTTGCTGTCTATACAGTAGACAATAAAGTATAAACATAGTTATCGACACCAATTTAGACTAATATTTCATTTATCATCAAATATTAAGACTAAATTTAGTGTAAATATTAGTCGTTATAAAACTAATAGTTTGTTAATCTGTTTTCTCGGCTTATAATTAGAAACACAAAATCAGTTCATTATATCAAACATTAATTAAAACAAATATTTTATGCAAAAATATTTACTCATTAAATCATTTGAAAGATAATTAATGGATTAGATATAAGACAACGAATTACTCTTCATTTAAATAGTAGACAAGTATTTAATTTAATTGTCAATTCAATAGACTTTATGCTCTCATATCATAACAAACTATGCGCTTATGATTAATACAAGTGTTTATATTAATTATAATTAAAAATAAATTAAATCCAAAATATTAAATATATACCCAATTTAGCGAAACAATTGTACGCCAGGTCTCCAATTGGAATGTCCATGCTCATTTTATATTAAATATCAAAATTAGTTTTATTATCAAAACAAACGCTCATTTTCTCTGACATTTGTATCAAAATATTGATAAAAAATAATGTTTTAAATATAGAAAATGAACTCAAATAACAAACAATTGCATTAAAATAGTTTTGTAAGTAATTAATACTTTAATCGCATTATATCTTAGATATAATCAAATGAGAAGTTTTTTAAATGTAAAATTTGGCAAAAAATAAGTCAATGTTTACGCGAGAAGTGTGTTTCAAATGTGAGTTAAATGTAGAGATTTTGCGCAAAACACAAATGAATCGCTTTTTTGTTGTTATAAAACTTGTCTCCAAAAGTTATTTCGTTAAAAATCTGGTTTTTTCTCAATTCATTCCCAAATACAAAATGTTAAAACTAAATGTGAAATGCATTTTGAAATGTCATTGAAATGTTAAGTTCGCGAATAAAAATCAACCAAATCTATGAGGTTTTGAAATTGAAATAAAAGTTGAATTCAAGCCAAAAACTCCACTCAACCAGCGATCAGAACGTATGGTCTGAGCGTTAAATATAGACACACTTTTCGTATGACAAGCATTTCGTAATCGGATTCTTGTATTCAGTGTTTCAATGAGTCGTACAGTGAGTGTAAGTGTTGTGTTGAGTGCGCGCAACACATCACCACATCT